AAATATCGTGTAATGAAATGTTAAAAAAAATGAGTTTAACCATTTCTAGGTTTTTTAGATCGGGAGAGAGGGCAACCAAATATTTTTATAACAAGTGGTATTATAAGGCTAGTACATGTTCCATCAGATACTTAGTAATGCAATTTTTTTTTTATAATTTGACACTATTTTGAAAAACAAAAAAGTAATTTTCGGGGGATGGGGGGGGGGGTGGGGTTAGCATCACTTTTTTGCGATGATAGATTTAGCACATGCAATGGAACTTTCATTGCAAACATTGTGCTCGCTTCTAAATTTCATAGAAACAACTCATTATATTTTATCAAGCTTCGTATGTTCAATGAGCGAGATTACAACGTTGTCAACATAATGAGACATGATGCGTTTTTGTGTCCAAACATGACCCCATACAATGTTTGGTCATTGCAAACATTCTAGCTATTTATGTGAGGTGCATGAAAAAATCCTTAACTGCCTATTTTTTATCATCTAACTTATAAACAAAAAAGACATTTGTATCAACTTTTCGAATGTAAGACATGTAATTACAATTTATTTTTCATGCAAAAACGTAATTGTATAACATTCAAATTAAATGCTAAGCATCCTCCTTGCAGTGCCCCATTTGAAAATAACTTCTATCGCCACAGAAAAAAGACCCACCATAAACACATATGTTTAGGACATTTTTATCTTTTTTTCTTGAGTTTTAAAGAAACCAACAAATTTTCAAGACTTGTTTCACGAAAAATTAAATATAATCATGGTAATAAACGCATCTATCTACTAGCAGATATATAAGTATGCCAACCATGTGCTTAGTGGAATAATATTAGCGAGGAATTTCGAGTTGTAAACAAACAGTTTTTCCCGATTTGCTGGATTGAGGTTAAAATCGCGTTTTTTCATTAATCAGACGATGCGATGCAACAAATAAAAATAGTAAGTAATATAACCTAATGATTATTACTTAGTAATTTCTTGTCTTGGTGTTATTATGGTCGCATTTATTCTAAAATCATTGTTATTCGAACTCTGTGTGACAGAGGAATGGCGGACGAAATAAACACATGGCCTCAGGAAGACACCCATATGAAAAATCAAATTTTCTAGAATTATGGATAATGACAAGAAAAAAGCTAAACAAAGTTGTAGCCATATTATATGAATCAAACTAACTCCATTTTCAATGCATTTTTATACATGAATGCTGTAGCTGCGGTTCTAACATGATTAATTTTCTTCTAATTTTAAGACAAAATAAAGTTACTAAATTGTTTACTAATTTTGGTTCTAACAGTAGGTAATTAGTGTATTAGCACTTTAGTAATTTGAGCTAGTTTAGTAGAGTATTAAGCGCATTCTTGGTATTTCTTAGTTTACACCAGACTAGATCCAATATGGCTTGTACATCCCCCTTAAGAAATATTTAGGAAAAATGGATATCCACCATTTTGAATCGCCATTTTGACTTATAACTTAGAGCTTCACCATCATTCAGTTGTAGAATAGTGAGAAGCGGAGGACAAAATACCAATCTGCAGTGTATGGGTATTTGCAAATGTAAAATTCTGAACAAAGCAGAATAGAGAAACGATAAACAAATGCTTGTAGATCAGAGAAAATTCGAATTAAGTGTTGAAACGAGTACATTTTCTAAATTAAATTAATAATATTAGCATTCTTTTATCATTTTTAGTTGCATTACATTCACTGAGATATTCACACTTTCTTTTTCCTGTTTGAACAACATTACGAAAAAAAAAATTAGGAAAATTGGGTGCCGCCATTTTGAATCGCCATTTTGACCTTTTTAACGCCATTTTCATGATGGTCAGCATACTTTTTCGGATTCAGCATACTCGAAATAGGTTAAAAAAACTATGCTGGAGCAAATAATATTCATTTGTCGCTAGAACTTATTTTTAGCCTTTTTTTAAAATCAGGACCAGACTATAATGGCTTTTAAGATACTTTAACATGAAAAATATCCGTTTTTGATATTAAATAGACGAAAAATTATACATAAATTTTGAAATTTTATATCAATATTGGTTCAATTAAGACAGGAAAAATATATAGAAGGGCACACTTTAAAAAAAAACATAATTCTATAAATTCACTTTATTTAGATCCGTGTTGAAGCACGGCACTTAAAATAACTCGTTATACCTTATTTTAAATACTTTATACATTTTCGATATAAATATATTTTAAGCGTCATTATATGTAATCCAAATATATTATATGAATTAATTATCATACTTAAAAATATAAGATAGCAAAAAGCGATCTATCTCAACAAATCTATAAAGAATACAAATTTGTTAAGAGGGCATTAAATACGTACCCTGGAAATTCCAGAGGAAAGAGTGAGCATCCCCTGTCGACCGGTCACCCCCGAGAAGCCATTGTATCGACCAGATAGACGAAACTTTCCGTGATCAAATTCAGTATGAAAACAAAGGTCTAACAAAAGAAAAGATAACAAACTCAATTTTATTTTATAACCCATTTTAAACTCATGCATGTATAACAAAAAGTCTTAATGATAAAAAATTTAAATTATGCATTACGTCAATGAGAAAAAGTACAGTCTGCCTACATAAAACGATATATGTGATTGACAGGAAGTTTTATACTGAAAGGGAAAAAAAAGCAAGGTAACATAATATGCGAAAATTTTTTACCGCATGACCAAAAATTACTGAAACGTGTATGAAACGTGTATGAAACGTGTATGGGTTCTACAAGGGATATATGTACAGTATATAGCTTTTTCTCTTACTCTGTCTGAGTTAATGATTGGACTTATAACTCTAGGACCGCTCTATCTGAGAGAAATTCACACTGTATAAATAATTTTTCTTTATCTAGAGACGGGGACTATTTGCATCGTGTTTCTCCTCCTAAGTTCCTTTTGATTGATAAGAACTGGGTGTCTCAATCTTCTTCAGATTTACTACACCCAGAACTTAACGTCAATTCCCTAGGAATACTTGCCACTGGTGCTTATTCTATTCTTAGCCCTACTACTTTATTCTTTCCTCTCAACTTCTGATCTAGCTGTCGGCTTCTTCTGCTAACTTCTGAATGCCTGATTTCATTAAAGCATCGCTTTATATACCCTTGGACTGGTCTATTCCAAGGGTAGTCAGGTCATTCCATTATTTTGGGTCTTCTGTGCGTTTAAATAAACGCTCCTTAACCATTACATTACGAAAATTGGTAAGATGAGAATTTTGGTTACTTTGCATTAAAATCAGTGTTCAGAATTACTCAATCGTGAAATGTATGACGTCACGTCAGAAAAGTGCTAAATAGCAAAAAAAAAAAAAAAAAAAAAAAAAAAAAAACACGTGCAACTTTTTCAACGATCGTTTTGTACCATTTAATGCACTTGAGGTATACAAATTGATTTTCAGTATTTGTAGACGAAATGCATTTCTTGCAATCTTGTAACAGTTGACGAAAGTTCCATGGGGTCTGGCTTTTAGGTTGCCAAAGTAAGGACAAAGGCAGCAACAGCTTGCTTTGCAGTAGCTTTTAATTTTTTCCCCATAGAACGTCTTAACCGTCGTCAGAGAGGGCGTTGAATGGTTTTAAATCAACCGTGACGATGACGTAACAGGTGTGATTTGGATCTTTGAGTTGGTAAACTTTACTCTGGGGTTCCTCTCACTGGCGCATGCGCGCGCCGTTTGCCTCATTTTTTCGGCATGTTTACCTCCAGCCCATTGTAGCCTGGGTTTATCAATACTTTTTAGCACACATTTACATTTACCCACTCGACAAGTCTCCGTAAAATCCATCTTTTTCTCATTGAACTTCTGTTGGACTGAGTGAGAGATAAAGTTCGAAATGCCGAAGAGGGTCCCTTTCAACTAAGGGTCATCTTGTTGAAAAATATCCCTATTAGTAAGATAAACACACTGATGAACTCCATGCAAAGGAGAAACAAGTCTGTGACAGATGCGCGAAGGAAACATTGAAGATATAATGAGAATTTTCACTTGGGGGGTGGGGGGTATCGTCATATTATTCTACCTATTCCCACTTTTTAAAAATTAGGTAGAAAAGTTAAGATTTTATGTGGGAATAGATGGAATTTTTGTGTAAACAAATAATTAACTATATAAACATATAGATACTGTATAAACAGTGATTAATGAACACAAGTTGGAATATAGGATAGGTAATTTTGCTTTTTTAAATTATAAATAAAACTTTTTTCTTAATATTTAAAGGAAAAAATTGAAATTTTTCAGTGAATTTCATCATGTAAAAAAAAACATGAACATAAAAATGCTGCATTTCAAGTCCATGTTCTGAAATCTTATTAATTTTTTGCAGGACAACTCGAATCATCTTAATATGAAATGGCTTATAATGTATTGACTAGTTGAACAAAATTGTTGTAAATTCTGAATTCATCGTTTTTCGACACCCATTTATTCCAAGAGGAAAAATGCATATTTATCCTAAACTTTATATGTACATCTACAGGACAAAAAATTTTATGATCAAAAAGATGAATTGGTTATTATATATTTGCAGAAAAACTTACAGGAAACAAATCTGCATGATCTGGCGGACGGAAGAGGATAAGAGGATAACATTTATACTCAACTCAATGGAAAGTGCAGGTATAAGAACAATTACATAAACTGTATGTATATATAAACAGCTAATGCTAATTTGAATATATTAAAAAGCTTGAAATGTACGCTATTAGCGAGTCCCACTTTGTTCCATAAATCTAGGCGACAACAAATCCAGAGATATACTTCAGTTTATGAAATGACACTCTACATGTATAAATGCAAATGACTTTGTTGCGGAATTACTTAGTATTCGTATTTATTTTGCAAAAAAGATTTTGATTGGTTATTTGTGTGTGTGTGTATAACTGATAAAAACATATGCATGCCACGCTATGGAATATCCTAATCATATTTTAAAGTACATTTAAAAATACAACTGAGATGATAGCCATATCAATCAAAACATTTATCAGCATACAGAGGATTTAGTGAGCATATTTTTTAACAGAAAGTACGTATTTGAACATTACTGAGCATTTATCTTATATATTGTTTTACAATTTACATTTTGCCCTATTATTACACTTGTCGTATCTATATGTCTTTTTTTTAGCTTTAATTTTTTTCAGCTTATGTGTAAAGATTTTTCATAAGACGGTTTTGAAAATGTAAAAATGTGTACTTGTTTAACTTGCTAGTCACTATGACTAATTGCTTATGTATTGTTTATATAGCTAGAAGTTAATATTCCTAAAGATTAAAATTTACAATTAAAAACAATCATAAGAATTTGCGAATTCTGCGTTACAGTCTATTTTAGGATAAAAATATGCAAATTACAACTAAAAGGAAGGCAGTGTCCTTGATGATTTTGACCTTGGTGTTGTGGCTCGCGTCACTTGTATCACCCGGATGGGTTATTATATCGCTCAAAGAAATAAAAGAGGTAAGCCTTGTAAATTTAAACAATATGAATTTCAATTTTCGGTCTGTTTGATTTGAGTTCCATTTTCGTGCATAGTCACCATGAAATCGTAAAACTGATGCAACGATATCGATGTGGCAACTGAGATTCTAATCTAAAAAAAAAAAAGGAAAACGGGCAATAAAAAAAATAATTATTCGTAATTATAATGATAAAATGATGTCAACGATTGTTTGTTTGTTTTAACACGTAAATTGTATGATTTTTGATATTAGTATCATCAGAGTGTAAGTCATACACATATGTAAATAATTATACGTATATGCCTACATACGGAAGCCGATTGGTCCCAGCAGGTAGAAAAAAAACTTTATCTGGCGGCCGCCATATGTTTTTATCTAGCGACCGCCAGTTATATATTTATGTGGCGGCCGCCAGATAAAATATTTGTACATCCTACCTGGCACAAATCGGCTTCCGTACCTACTTGACAAGTCTCTGTGATAATTATCGCATCAATACATGTTATCCTAATTATATCAAGCAAATTAAAAGATTTTAAAAATCTTAATCGTGGGTTTAGTGCACTAGGAAGCTTCGGGCAATCTCATCAAAATAATTTATAAACGTTTGACTATCTGACTTAATTTATTTCATAATAAGCGACAAATGCAGTCGTAGATTTCCTTTGACATTGTCTACTAGAGGAATAACATTGTTGTTTTCTTGATAAAATTATTACAGGAGAGAGTTTCTAGGACGTTTCGCGGGGGTATATTTTACTTCTTATTGTGTACAGAAGATGAATGTGTCTTGGAAAATTACAATTATAATCACGTGTTTTCCAAGGACTGGCCATTTATCTGTAAGTTTTATTTACATGTAATTATAAATAAAGTATTATTTGTGAGCAAAATATGATATTTTTTAATTTAAGTCTCATATGTGTAATCTATTACAGCTGTAATCATTTTGAAGCAAATAGGAGTTATTAAACCTGTGGTTTTATGTCTAGTGAGTTTGATCATGTTTCTGGTGAAACCACGTCTTGTTCGCGCCGCAAAAGCATGTCTAATCGTAGCCGGTAAGATATGAAACAAAATCATTGGGCTTTATTTTTCATCTATCCACCTCTCTCTCTCTCTCACCATTCTTTGTTATTTCTAAAGCAGTTCATTATGATATTCCAAATGACTAATAAACATTTTTTATTCATTCCAGAACTAATCGAACTTTTCCTTATTTTTGGAGTGTCTATAAAAACTTTTAAATTGAAAGAAGATTTAAAAACAACGTTAAACTACGTTTCATACGATGAAATAAAAGCACACAGAGAAGTAAAGGTTCCTTATTCTGTTATTCTTGCTGGAATAGGGGCCCTGTGTAACGGTTTGGCTATACATTATACTTGCCTTTTGGCGCATAGAACCGAAGGAACGAATAGAGACAGGGTTCATTGAATATTAATATATACTCTTCAGCTGTCGTAATCACCGTATTTCTTTCAAAGTCAACAGACTGTATAAAATTGAATAAAAATACTAAAGGATGTTCATGTTCAGAACTTGAAATTCACTGTTTCAGCAGGGGATGCTCACTCTTCCATGGCACCTCCTATGTTTTGGAGGTCCGTGTTTGCTCTGCTCCAATTTGTATGGACTTTTGATCTTGAATACTGTTCGTTATATCCATTTGTTTCATTGCATTACTAACGTAATCCCAGTGAGTGAATTTCAATAACTTGCTTGATTTAATATAGCTAATTAATGAATAGACTATAAGAAAAATTATTTTAAAAAACTCCTCATGTCAAGAAGCCCGAAACATGTTAGTGAGTATGTATCTCATCTCATAAATGTAAATATGTTTGTTTTGGGCTTATTTTTTGATTATTTACATTTTTCTGATATACAAAGAGATTGTAAATTGATTGATTGAATATTGTTTAACGCCGAGTCGGCAATTTTTCAGCCATGTTTCGGTGATTGTAAATAAATGTATATTTATTTCATACTTACTTCTATTTACAAAGGATTTTTTAAATTATTTAATCTTTTTAATTTTAAATCAAAAGCATGTCTGATAGTAGAAGGTAAGATGTGTGCAAACTGTAAGGAACAAAATAATTTGGCCTTATACTCTCTCTCTCTCTCTCTCTCTCTCTCTCTGCATTCTTCAATTATTTACTTGATTTAACCATTTCTTGATTGATTGAATGCTCCAGTTCGAAAAAAATTTTCACCCATATAATGACATCACAAAATAGTGAAGAAGGGCTTCAAAAGCATTTCAAACATTTATTCGGTGGCTGAACATTGGGGGATAAATTGCCAACGCATGCTGTTTTACAAAGCCTTAATTTTTAAGCTCTTATTCGAAAGAGATGCAATTATTATTTTTTTTTGTAAATATGTGTAGTGATTTAATGATTTTGTATAAGTTAAAATGATCAAAATTTAGAATATGTTCGATTTTCTATGTAAGTATTCTATGAAATTGTTATTAAATCAGCAAAAATTTTTGTCATTTATGTTCTGACAGCTTTATTTGAGAAGGGCATGGTGGCACTGGGTAAACTAACAAAAGTGTTTGGTTTGTGCATTTTGGTTAAAAAGTTTTTTTTTAAGTATAAAAGAGTTTTTTCCTATTGTTGACATTTTGACTTAAAAAACATTTTAAAATATTTATTGATATACTTATTACGAATAAGTATTCGCAAGATAAATTCATTTCAAAGATTTAACTTCCTGTGGGAAAAAGGATTTATTTGTGTTAAGGTTTTCATTTATAAACAAGATATATATAATAGAAGATATGAAACGTAATTCTGCGTCCAGATGAAACATATAAAAAAGCGATTTCTCCGCCGAAATATGGCTGAAATATTGCCGACTCGGCGTTAAACAATATAAAATCAATCAATCAATCAAACAGCGATTTCAACTGTTATCATTATAAAATGTATACGTAATTACTAGTACCCCTTTTAAGGGCAAAATGATGATATACGGACCTTTAAACTGACCAAATAATAACTTTGCCTGACCAAGCCAACTTGGCCTATTTTAAATCAGAGAGATTAACGTGTAGTACGTGAAATACTGTACTTGTATCATAATCTTGATATCAAAATAGGAAAAGGAAATGGAGCTAACATGCATACCAGAAAGATTTGTACTCTTATAGTTACTAACTAAAAGGGATATTAGTAATCTGTCTCCATCTCCTTAACTTTTTTAGATATTCTTAACGCATATAAATGCATTATGTTGATATTATTTATAAATGCTTACTCTGTACCTGCTGTATAAGTAAACTTATTTCCCATGAAATCGTTCATTTTATACCTAAATCAACTTACAATGTACATATAAAATGGAAAATCGCGAAAACGACGAAAATTCAAGAATATTGTAAAATTACAAGAAAAATTTTTGATTTAAATCTTTCATGCATACACAGAAATAATTGTTTATTTTTTATAAATATTTCATACTATCTATCCAACAACTGGGTCACCAGCTCTAAAAAGGAAAGAAAAATGACATGATCTTGATGATTTCGATATTTAACTCATTATAATGTTAAAATTTTGACATCAAATAATCCCTCTTCTCCTTAAAATACACATGTATCATAAGAAAGTGAATTATAGTATTTAAAGCATTTGACTTATGAGAGGTAACCTAATAGCTATAGTTAATTCACAGGGTCATCAAACCCACTTTGTTCTCTATGTTATAAATACGTAGAGAACAGAATGGATAAGATGCCTTTGTAGTTAAATACTTACAATTTTTCACAGATAAAATGTTCCTGTTTAGAACAGGTATTGTCGTTCCAAAGGAAAGTTGGGGGTACAAGATCGAGGCAGTTCTCGTTTCCTCCTGAGTTACTGGGCTGTCCAGGGTGCCAATTAGTGTAAGTACGGTAATCAATGATTGTTTTACTCGTCATCCACATCCATTCTCCCTCTAGTACGATGTCAGATCCACCAATCCAAAATGGTTCTGTACACAGCATATGTACATATAAATGTAAGTGTACTAGAAGAACATACATTTACATCTCAACATGCGTATTTCAAATAGTCCAGGAGTTTTACCATGCATAAAAACACAATGTTTGAAATTTTTACTGACTGCATTCTTTTGCTTTATAGTGATATAAACTGAGTTGAAAACTGCAGGTATAATGCACTATTTTTGGCTTTGCGGTTGACTGTTTCAAAAATACCCATGCATAAGTATTAACCGTCATTAATTTAATGTATCTTGAATATAATTTTTAAAAATCTTACTTTGATCTCTTCCTAAGTCATGGGCATGCGCATTAAGAAATGTGTCCTCTGATCGTGTCTCGATTTCAACCAATTTTGAGCCCAAGTTTGCGCAAAAGAACTAAAAATTAGTAAAGAAAGCAGTAAACTATTACTGCTTACATTTAAGTGTTATGTTAATTTGAGAAAAAAATGAGTGAATATATCCTTTTATGTGTTAGGCCATTTTAAGAGTGAAACAAGGTTAAAATATTGGGTCGACAGGTAGGTGACAAATTCTTTCTTCTCAGAAAATTTCAACATTTCAACATACAAAGGGTGATCGAAAAGTTGGCGAACTAATTGAATAACTTCCATAAAAGAAATGATAATTATCGAGCTTAGTGTTGAATTTTTAAAAGCGTTAGTCCTCCAACTTAAACGCACATCTGCAACTGTTCAGCTCGTGCGGGAATCACGCGATCTAGGCGGTCACGTGACATGCTCTGTAGCGTTCAATGTTTCACAGTTCTAAGCTAAACTATTTTTCAACTCTAATATCTTATTGTGCAAGTTATTTTTCATAACAAAAACAGTTCATCTGTCATTAATGGCCAAATCAGGGCAGTACATGTAGTATGTATAGATAAGGATATACTTTTCCAGAATGAGCATGGTGACCATCATAACCCGAGTCCTTTGTCTCCGGAGCGTCGTTTATTCATTGTGGATAAAGTATAGGTGCCTCCTTTTTTATCATATCTGATTTGTTTAAAGTCTAAAGTAAAGGATATTTTGCGATCTTAATAATTATGTTATTGGTAAGATATTCAACTAATATTTTAACTGTAATTTGGCGATTTTTCATATCAAATTGCTTAACAAAGAATACATTTCCTCCTTAACTTGGTTTTACTGGGCAATAGAACAAACATTACTTTTAAACACCTCTCTTCCTTTACACAAAAACTAACAATCCAATTAATGAATTAACTTCTGGAAAGCCTTTTGCCTTCATAAACCTTGTACAAATTATCATAAACTACTGCCAAGAAATATCAAGATATATGTTAAACTTTACAGCCGTTCATTGCTCGACTTTGACGGAGTCAACAATTTTTGGTCACAAGTGATCAACATATTGACGTCATTTATACATTATGAAGTCATAAACAGGGAGAAAAACATTTCCTTACATACACTATTTATGGAACATCTGTATGACTCTATGTGTGCCAAATTTCTCCAATAAAGTCATAAACAGGGAGAAAAACATTTCCATACATAAAATGGAACATCTGTATGATCTATGTGTGCCAAATTTCTCCATAAATCGTCAAAAATTATCAGATCAGAAACACTTATCAAACCTGTACAGTTGAATAAATATTTGACTCTAAAATGAAACACTTGTTTAGACCACATCGATGAGTCGTCTTTTGCAGTCTGAACACTAAATTGCATCAAGTTGCTGATGAAGGAATGTCGGTTTTTATAGTCATGCGGAGCTATTCCACGGACCTCCCTACATATTTAAACACCAATAAAGCAGTTAAACAGGAACCTGATTTTGTTATTGTATATTCATTAAAATCAATCAATACATATAACGAACAAATTTGAAATTTAAAAAGGCTATTTCTGATGCAACGAAAGCTCATATTGTCTGCATTCCATACACAGGTAAGCAAACAAATTTTCCCTCTGGTGTTAAAGGGAACAGCGTTATCGAGACATGGTGACCTATTTCGTTTCTCTATAGAGGAAACTATCAGGCGTATTTTAGAGCTCTTCGTGATCTTTGTAGAATAGAAATAAAGTCCTTGTTGTCGTGAATGTTGCAGGATAACCTCCTCGGTCTCGAAAAGTTGTTTGAAATATAAACATGACAAGTTTGGCTTTCCAGAAAGCCTGAAATGTCATCTCTTTGGTATCAATAATGTCAAAGAGATAAAACAGAAAGGGAAATATTTTAATGCAATGAATATATGGATTATTACACCTGAAGTTCCCAAATGACTTAATTATTCAGCAAACTCCACAGTAAAGTACGCAGTTTCTTTTGGCCGCAGTAGATATATGGAAAGCATGGACGTCTGCGAGAGCACCCAAGGCGATTTTTGGTGAAATTTCATTCTAGCGGTCTTTGTGTTTCTGGGTGTTTACAATTTACTTAAATTCCTTGAACTATATTTTCTTAACACAATACGGAATTATCAACAATAATTATCATTCATTTAAAAGCAGCTAATCATTATAGTTTGACAGGAATTAATTTAATAAATCTAATTACAGACTAAAAAATTAACATTAAATTAGCGTTGACCACTCTTCGTTCATTTATTGTAAGCTTGTTCTTTTGTGCGAGAACCAGTTTTCCCTTCGCGTCAACAAATCTATTTATAGAAATCACGTCATTGTCAATTCTCTTTGTGTGGCTTACCAATTTAATAAGGCATAGTATTGAGGATCAATATATATATACGACACACCGAAACTATAGATATTTATAAGCATTGTACTTCTTTTCTAAATTTTCCTTGGCTTTCAAATAGGCCTAAACCGAAAGTAGATCACACACTCCTAAGCTAGTTCTTCTAAAAGAAAACCAGTGTACAGGCTACTTGGAACTCTGTAAAACATCGAGGACTCCCGAAAGATTAATGGAGGCTTACACTAGGACTTCACTTCCGGCATACAATCTTAATGTGTCATCTCCCGAGGGAGATGACAATAAAAGCCTCGGATAACGCCTCGGCTTTTATCTTTCAAACAACATTTCTCGACCTCGGAGGTTATCCTGCAACATTCACGAAAACGCGGACTTTATTTCTTAAATAAATTTAAATGTTTAATATTTCAGAAAAAAGACTTCGGACCCACTAAGATATCATGTATTTTGTATTATTAAGTTCTATATTTTATGAGGAATTAATTGATATTGGAAACTGTACCCATATAAGTTGTTTTGAATAACATATTGACATGCCCCGTCCCGTACTATACAATTATGGACTATTTCTGCATTTGATTTTCTAGTCTAAGAGTTGTCTTTCTCGCATACGATTGCAAAAATCGTTTTGGCGAATAAAATATGTAGTAGTAGACATTTATGGGATTTATTCGTTTTCAGAGAAAATTACAACCATGGCTCCATTCCAGTCGGTAGCATGGTGATTTACAAACAGATAACAGGATTCTTCGTGGCGGATCCAGTTACTTGGACAATCTGCATTAACAAGGACAGTCCCAGAGAGCATGACTACGTTGGCCCAACGTTGGCTAATGGTTGGACCGTTGGCCAATGGTTGGCGTTGGGTTTACAACGTTGGCCCAATGTTGGGCCAATGTCAACATTACACTTTTTACTCAGAGGCCGAGGTTGGTTGGGGACACAACGTTGGCCCAACGTTGGGCCACTGTTGTTGGCTTGTCACCACTAAGTTGACAGATTTTGATGGGAGTATAACATTGGCCCAACGTTGGGCCAACATTGGTGAATCATGTTCTTATTTTGTTGTAGTTTGTTGGGCATACAACGTTGGCCCAATGTTGGGTCAATGTCAACATAACACTATTTTACTCAGAAGCTGAGGTGAGGACACTACAATGGCCTAACGTAGGACCACTGTTTACAATGTTGGGTTTACAACGTTGGCCCAATGTCGGGTCAATGTCAACATTACAATATTTTACTCAGCGGCCGAGGTTGGTTGGGGACACAACGTTGGCCCAACGTTGGGCCACTGTTGTTGGCTTGTCACCACTAAGTTGACAGATTTTGATGGGAGTATAACATTGGCCCAACGTTGGGCCAACATTGGTGAATCATGTTCTTATTTTGTTGTAGTTTGTTGGGCATACAACGTTGGCCCAATGTTGGGTCAATGTCAACATAACACTATTTTACTCAGAAGCTGAGGTGAGGACACTACAATGGCCTAACGTAGGACCACTGTTTACAATGTTGGGTTTACAACGTTGGCCCAATGTCGGGTCAATGTCAACATTACAATATTTTACTCAGCGGCCGAGGTTGGTTGGGGACACAACGTTGACCCAACGTTGGACCACTGTTGTTAGCTTTTCACCACTAAGCCGACAGATTTTGTTGGGAGTACAACATTGGCCCAACGTTAGGCCAACGTTGGTAAGTCACGACCTTATTTCGATACAATGTTTTGTATAGACAACGTTGAACCAAAATTCAGGAAACATGCGAACTGCATGTTTGTTATAAAATCGGATAAGAAGATGGAAAAGTGAAAGAAAAAGAAATAGTAAATTATGTACATTTAATGTTACATATACATATGTATCACCAACCATGAATACCTAAAAACATGCATGACGATGTATCAAGTTATATAGCTTTTATATAAAATACAAGACTAACAACATGAACAAGACACACACTTTCTGATTTAAGTGTTGCATTTAGGGGGCATATTCTAAGATAAGAGAACATTTTCTGACCAAACAATTAGGCCAGGGTTTTTCACAGCGTGAGACTGGCCAGTTTCTATGGTAATCGTGATATCTGATAGGACAGGATGGTCAAATCTGCATCCTTTTAGCACGCCTAACATTTTAATCTCGGATGTTTCCTACAGCAGAACGTTGAAGATTTTATGTTAAAAACAAAGCTTTGGAATGTGTGTTCTTTAATGTGGATTAATATTTAGAGCTATGTCCAGACATTTTACATACGGATCGAAATGTAAGTACTATATTTACCTCAAATAACATGTATTTCAGATTTTAGAACACAAAATGCAAAGTTTGTTTCATGCGATCTGATCAGCATCTTTATCTTTTTCTAAGCTTGATTTAGTTTTAAATTAAATATGTAACTAGATCAGTCGCTATCACTTTATCCTTTCTGTTTAAAACTTATAAAATAAAATGTATCATTGATCTATGTCAATTATTATTATCTTAATAAAAATCTAATTTGTAAATTTTATTTTTGAATATCTTTGAATTTTTGCCTGGGTCAGTTTCGTTTCATAAATTTCTACTATATTTCTACCATTAAGAAAACAAATTCTGGAATTGTTACTTTGTGTTTCACATGTTTCAGGGAAATCAAATTTCTTATGATTAAAGTTCTCATTTTATTTAATTAGTGAAAATAACTTGGTGAATGAAGAGGAGAGTACATGTATTTGCTGCCATGTTTTAAAAAATTTCATTGAAAGGCAATTGAAGATATCCGGCTTTTTCAAAGATGATGAGGATTTAAAAAGTAAGTATTAAAATACGTGCTCTGTTCCCCTTACAAATGATATATTTATACATTATAATAAACATGATAAATGCAGAAAAAATTGTAAATAATATATCTAAATTAAAAGAAAAAAAACACCCAAATTTAAACATGTTAAATCTACAAATAATCGTATATCCTATGTAGTAATAGTTTCCAATACACAGAATCAATTAAAAATACTATAAACTTGCAATTGTGTTAATTAAGTACGGCTTAAATTTATTTTTCAGCATTTGTCTTTCTTTTTTTTTGAGATTTGCCTAATAAAATGGATTTAATTTTTTATTTAAAGGAGCTGTTCGGACTTATCGCTTGTATGACGAATCAATTTCTTTGGAATTTCACTGAGTACGACCATGAAGGAAAAATAAGAACAAGCAGGACAAGAAAGAAGAAAATGCGTTCAAAAATACAATGGAGGACAGTGATTGGTTATAAACCTGTTAACAAAAAGTGTATATAAGTTAAATGAGTGGAAAACTTTTGAAATTTATTCTACTAGATACAAATTTCAATCTAAATCAGGGGCAAATTATTTATTGTTTTAACTGTATCAAAACACATTTGTTATTTTATACTTTCACTTACTTTTCTTGTATAGAAACAATAAATTTAATCACTGATAATGTATTTTGTTATGATAAATTGTAAAGAAGTTTAACAAGCCTTGTAAATTTATTTTAGCTAACTTGTATTTATTAAGTAGGATTGGTGGTAGATTTTTTTTTCTGACTTTAGAGACGATCGGATTTGTTAATATACAAGTTTGTAACAATTAAATGTTTATACACATTGGGCCAATGTTGGTCCAATATATCGGGCCAACATTGGGCCAATGAGCAAAATGACATTGGGCCAACGTCATTTGCCAACATCGGCCCAATGTTCTTGATGACGTTGGGCCAACATTGGCCCAATGTCGCATTCATTGGGCCAATGTTGGCGCAATGTTGGACTCCGCTTCGGCCAATATCTGCAGAAATAACACTCTACATTGGGCCAACGTTGGCCCAACATATCGGGCCAACATTGGGCCGATGAGCAAACTTACGTTGGGCCAATATCATTTGCCAACATTGGCCCAATGTAACCGATGACATTGGCCCAACGTTGGCCCAATGTTAGCATGCTATCTGGGGTTCCTGCGGTAAAAGAAAATTTTCTGCGTAAAGGTTTCTTTTATCATTTAAATATTACAGTACCTATTTTTAAATTCTGTTTGTCGCCCGCATGGTGCAGTAGTTATAGTGCCTGCTCTAGATCCGCGAAGTAAGGAGTTATCCGTACGTCACGGTTTCGAATCCCAATGTAGGACATGGAGACTGGTCCTTCGGATGAGACTGTATAAACTGAGGTCCCGTGTCGCAGTAGGTGCTTGCAGGAAAAAAGATCCCTCCCTGCTCAACTGCTCTTAGTGCCGAGTATAGGACAAAATTTGCAACTCTCCACCGACAAGTGTTGGCGACTCCATATGAATGACACAATTGTCGAGAGGGACATTAAACAACATACAAACACATATTCTGTTTATTTGGTCTTGTTTATTTCATGACGTGAAATAGAAATTTATATATAATTTATAAAATTAAAAAAAAACATCCAGTCAAAATTTTTTTACGTTTTCAAGGGATAATAATTTAGCGTAAAAAAAAATATATTAATGTTTTATGAATCTTAAGTAAAGAATCATATAGAAACCAAATACACTATAATGTATGTAGATGATTTAGAAAAATTGCTACATATATATGGAAAGAAAGCGTTTACAGTACTGAAGTCTTTTCCTTTGGTATACAATTGAGTAATATGTCCAATTCTAACTTTGATGTTTACCTGACTGTAGACATTGATGGTCAACTTACAAAAAAAATCTTCATAACATACGAAAGTCAAAGAATGCTACATACCATAACCATAATTTGAGTTCTGCACACTTACCTATAAAAAAGAGAAACAGAGATAATGAATGACGCATGTCCTTCGCTGCAAGAATGGAAGATAGGGAAACGTTATAACTAGATAAGATATAACATTTATAAATACTTCTTGCCGAGTAAAGTCGATGTTTGATTCAAATCAAAAGTACATCTTTGTATACGCTATTTATAAAATGAAATCAGATGAAATTAATAATCAACTAGAGGTACGGTGAGCAATGAGCTCACTAAATGATACCCCCGCCTCCCATATGAATATAATGGGAGTGTGCATGTTTTGTTGCGGGAAACCCCAAAAATGTGTCAGATCAAAAAGTAAAATAGGAGGTGCACAATGGCAATATGTAATAAAGATTCTAAGAAAGTTTCATCAAATTTCATTCAGTGGTATGAGAGGAGTTGCGGATAATTAAGAGATGGGTACCCCAAAGCGTAACAGAAAGACGGACAAAACGATTACTATATACCCTCCGGCTTTTCAAGCGGGGGTATAATAACGTTGGATACGTCGTTACGAGTGACTGTGTCTTTTACTCGACATTTAGATATAACTACAATGCAACATCAATTAACAAAAGTTACGTCCAATTATATGTCAACTCGATATTTCCCAGTGTACCTAAAAATAAAAGATACCACAGAGTCTGATACATCTGTTTAATATTTGGATAAACTCATTTGAAATAGACATAAATGGTAATTAACCTACGTGTATCAAGAAAGTTTCATATTAATCGTGATGACTTCAACTTTTCAATCGTCAACATCCCCAACTTATGTTCCCTTATCACATGCAGATAGGTATTATGTCCTTCGGTTGATTCGGTAAGCAAGAGAATGTTTTATGTACGATTCACAATATCTACATGTAAAACGAGGAAGGTATTGACATACAAGTTGATGAGACAAGAATATAGTCAACAGTCTCTTTAAAAAACATTTCGCAGGTTGTGTGGTCAATTCAATGACTTTGTCAGCAAAAACAACAATATATCATCAAGTCAAATGCTAACGTTTTTCATACTAATTGATAGGCCATTATTTTACATACTGATTTGTCTACTGACTTTTTCGTTTTCCCTGATCATGACAAGGAGCACACGGCGGATGTAACCGTTGGCATGAAATCTGATCCCACCTCTGATGTATTGGAAGATATGTTTGCTCTGCTCTTGCTTTGTATTTATTGATCTTGAATGCTGTTCATTATCTCCACTTTTCATTTAAAATGCAAATTAGATTGGATTCCTGAAGTATCGTTTTTTCCATCAAATATTAATTACTGTTAGATATCTTTCGCTTTTCACTTACAACATTTTTATGATTAAATAACATCCCTATCAATTCACATAAATGAGCTTAAATTTTCAGAAATCAGAAATCAAAATTATTTTGATCCTAGAGCAAAATGCCTCTAGGTATACCATGAGATAATAATTACTTTGGTATTTTGATTTTAAATTAAAAAAAACTACCTTTATATTTACACTTTAACCCTGTTATATATTCTTAGACAGAAAACTATATCCAACCATGATCTTTGAAAGAAAATGTTTTTCTTTGTCATTTATTGAAAGACAGATTTTGTAATCATTTAGAGAAAATATAGTATTTACAAGTACTATTATTGTTGTTATTTTAAGTAGTTAAACACAAATTTGAATAAAGAATCGCTAGTATTAGTCCATTTCCAGTTACACGTTATCATGCCAACTGGTGAACGTTGGTTCTTTCTTAATCTCTTGTGACTTGAACGGAAGTAGAAACTAAAATTGTGGCTGTGATATATTCCTGCATACCAGAACAAAATCATGTATGGTAGGGTTCTATTACTCTATTTATTTACTTTTATTCACGTCAAAACATTATTCTATAAAATCCGTTCGGTTTATGCGGTTGCAAGTTTTCTTGTAATATTTTTTTCTTTATTTTATAAATATATACCGACATTTCATGTATTTAATGATAGAGTTAGCATTCATTTTACTCTCTAAGATTCAAAATTTGAAACCCTTTGAAGTTTCGTCGATGCGTACGTTAATATTAACAAGTATGTCATTTAAGTACCATCAGATCAAATAAGGTTATTGAATAAGTATTCAATAAGGAATTTCTCTTATCTGGGTTTTCAGACTATCAGGTCGTTGTCCTTATGAGTCTATTGTCTAGTGCTCTTTGTAAGTATGCCACTTACTTGTGATAGTAATTTCTTAGTAAATTGACATTTTATATATAAAATTTTGTTGATTTAATAATATTGTTTTTATTTAATAACCCACTAGAATTAACCCACTAAAAGTTTTTCTGCTTCTATTGTATGCATGCCAAATATTTAACTGAGAGAAACAGTAAAAATTTCTGAATAACAATTAAACAATTGTAAAGCCATCGGAGCGAAATAAATTACTAGTATATTTTTCATCATTGATAAAAGTTCTAACTATAAAAGCAAAATGCATTCTTTTCTGACATTTTATTTTAATCTGAGCCTTAATTTACAGGTCTAGAATGCCATTTATGTTACTTTGCAAAGGATCCAGCTCTTTGTCAACACCATGTCACGTGCAATCCTGGACAGGTTATCTATCTTAGCAATGTTTAAAAGAAACATTGTTTTTTTTTATCTTTTCTGAAGATTTCTTTTTCCTTTCGTACAATATGTTGTTGGGATGAGAGTTTTCGGTTTGTACATTGTAGGACTAGCCATGTAGATGCATGTATGTAGCATTAGAAAAAAGAAATGATGAATATAGCTACGGATTTTTTTCTCCAAATTGGAATTCCTTGGGATTATTTAGAGTAATTCTGATTTTTTTTCATTATCTTCCTGACAGTCATGTGGGAAACTGAAGTATGAAGATTTCACTGGCTCTCACTATGACCTTGACTGTGTCGATACTTCTGTAAGTTCTAGCAACTACATTCATCTATACACTGTTTAATGTACTAATGAAAATCCAGCTGATATCCTTTAAATTGCTTGAATTCCAATTTATCTTTCTTTATAGTATATCGTATTTATACCAAACTAACAGTGTTATCAAGATTTTTTTCGATTTCAAAAACAGTTTTCCATGTGAGTATGCATCATTATCCTTGAGACAAAGTTATCTTCCTGTTGGTGTTGTTGTTTTCCTTTGGGTTAACTGTTGAATGTATGTGGAGTAAATTGTAACTTTTTTCATTTGTCACTTTTACAGATTTGTTCAAATGCAGATCAAACACAAGAGACAGTACAAATCTTCGGGAGACGAGGAACAAATTCGGACGTGGTTTGTTGTCATACAGATCTATGCAACAAATATTTGTCTAATCCAGGTAAGCAACACCTTAGATATCTCGTATTATTACCTCCAATGCAAAACGAGTTATGAAAGTAATAAAAACTCGAAGTTTAACCTTATTAAACAGTTAAACATACGTATACCTTACAGGTAGGGTTTAATGCTATTAAGTCTTGAGGCTAAATGATTAAAAATATCTATTTCTGACAAAAAAAAAAGTATGTCTTGGCTCTGGAAAGAAGCTTGGGGGGGGGGGGTCCCCTTCAAAATTCTACCATTAAGACATAATTTGACATTTGCATTTTTGTGTTCCAGCTGAACAAGGAACAACTACGGCGATTCCCGCGAATTCATCGACCGAGCTTTTAACAACGGTTACGATTTTTCCTTCAACTACACCAGAAGTCACGACAAGCACACCAGACTCATGTACAGACCACCCGGACTGTGACGTTCTCACCCAGGGCTTCCATGCCTGTAACGATAGTGATATTGCGCTCATCGTGTGCCGGAAGTCATGTGGCATGTGTGACGTCACTACAACTAAACCAGTCTGTAGGGATGCACACCCAGATTGCCAGATCTTATCAGATCATTTAAATGTTTGTGCGGATGATAATTTTGCGAGAACAAGATGTCCTTGGACTTGTGGTTTATGCGGTAAAATGATGGCCCTTTTTTGTTAAATATATGGCATTCTATTAATTCCTTGCAGTAATTTGCCAAAAAAGTTACCCTTTTAAATAAATTTTAAGTTTCACTTATTCAAACTGAAATACAGAAACCATGATTATACAAGTATGTTGTTTGTAGATTCCCATTCTTCTTCCACCACATTTACGACATTAAGTTCAACAACTCAACAACAATCCGGAGTGTGTGTGGATGGGCATGACTGCGTGCTATTGAAAGAGCTAAACATCTGCAAAAACCCAATGACAGCACAACTATGTCCTGTTTACTGTGGCATTTGTCAAAATAACACTGGAAGTTCAACAAGTAAGTAATGGACTTCTACAAGAAGCACTGACTGTTTACTTGGACATTTAAACATTCACATCTACGAAGGTACAGATTGATAATGGAAAAGAAAACCTTTCTGGTGGTCATGGTATTGGTGTTAGGGGCATTTGAATGTGAAGGTCTGGATTTGAGGGCAGGATGGTTGTCGTTTTCTTCAAGGACAACTTGTCTGTGCCTTGAAATAGCCCGTTATTTTCGTTGAATTAAATGTTGAGCTAAATTATTATATCGTAAAAGAGCTTCCGTACACTGTCCTAGTGTGAGAGTAATTCGTCAACCGTAAAAGTCAGCGCTCTCGTAAAAGTCCAGTAGTCATGTACTTCTCTACATAAACGTCTTGAAAAATTTACACTACTACGTTTAGAAGAGACTACAATCGTTTTTGTCATATTTGCTCTTTTAACAAACCTCACGTTCCTCTAGCAATATCCATATGTTTTTTTAATCAAATCAAATTCACAATTGTTAGAAAAACACATACTAGTATACAAAATATCAAACAATAGACGCTATGTTTATTCACCAATCAAGGGCCCACAGGGGGCATGAACAATTATTACAGAATGATAACATTGATTACAATTCTATATTAAGGATAATGTAACATGACTTGTGATTAAGTTTGACATTGAGAAGTGCATCACCACACTGGATCAAAAGCATAGAAACCATAGAATGATAAAAGAAAACACAATTAAATAAAAATGATAGATATAAGGTAAATTAAAAAAAAAAAAAAAAAATCTTGTAGTAATGGCAGTACTCTAATATAAAACTAGTGCATCTTGAATACAAAGGGCACCAGGGGATGATACCTCTACACAGCCAGTCTGGCAAACCTGTACCCTAAGTATTGAAGATGGTCATTCAAAAAAAAAAAAAAAAAAAAAAAAATCATTTAAGTATTAACAGAAATAGTAATTTCAATTAATAAGTACTTAGCATATAATTAGAAACTTAATGCAAACTAATCTCTTGGAGTTAGTTCAATAGATATTTGACATATGCATACCCACTTACACAAACACACACTTACTGTTACACAAATCCATGCATACAAAAATAATAATTTATATACAAATATATGTATGTATAGTATATATTATAAACATACACTTATTGTTACACATATCCATGCATACAAAAATAATAATTTACACACAAATATATGTATATATATAAACAAATGGTACTATCCTGTATAAATGTAAATCTGTGATCTTGAAGGTAGCATACAATTAATGTAAAGAAAAGGTAACTTGGATACAGAGGGTACCAGGGGACGATGCCTCTGCACAGCCGATTATACTGGCAAACCCGTACTCTAAGTATTCAAGACACCCATTCTGACTGATTCTGTACATTTAAGAAGGGAATGAGGGGACACATTAAATTTCAAAAAAAAAAACAAAAAACAAAACAAAACAAAACAAAAAACAAAAACAAAAAAAAAAAAAAAAAAAAAAAACCAGGTTTACTAATACTTTTCATACTTCAGCTCTCATAATCATTTTACTGACTTGAATCAGTATTTGCACATCCTCATTAGTCATGAGCCAATTTAACTTATTTTCACTGTCCAAGTTGTGGAAATTCTTACAGGAATTGTTTATTAATTCATACAAGACTTTTCTTTCATCCTTAATGTGATTACATGAAAAGAGAAAATGTTTCTCATCATCAACTGTTTTGTTATTGCATCTATTGCAGTGTCTTTCTTCTCTAGGAATGCCTATATATAGAAAAACTACACACATTCATAAAACCTCATATGTACGATTATTTTAACTATAAGCCATGATGCATTTGGTCATTTTGTATTCTGCGTTTTTTCCAGCAGAATTTTCTACATTTTCGCAACAAACGGAATCAACACTTACATCCTCCGAAGAATCAACTATACAAACAACTGAATTAGGAACAGCATCGCAAATTTCCACTCAAATAACAACACAAACTACAACACAGACAGCAAAACAAACAACAAAACTAACAACAAAGGCAACAACTACCATGCCAGCTACAACAGGTGAGTGCAGCTAAAACATGTGATATCCTCTCTCTGAATTTGCTTTCATACCCCTCCAATGATTCTTTTACTAATTCATTTTAATATATCCTAGGATGTAAACTTATCAATACTGCTCATTATATACATGTATATCTACTTTATATATTGTAAAGTTGCTTTATGCGATTTGTTTCTCTCAGTACCATGCTAAGAAATTGGAGCATTAATCTTTAAGAATTAAAAACAATGCCTTATTCAAAACCTTTAAGGACCCAAGAGGACAGTCTGTGTGTTACGCACATTTATATACTGAAAGGAACAAAAACGCAGGTAAATTTTCCAGGCTAATTTTTTTTCTTTTGTATTTCTCAGTAGTCGTTTTGATTCATAATGAAATTGTTACCGAAATTCAATTTGATTTTGCCTTATAATTCATGAGTTATTGAAACTCATATAACGATACCACCCAAAAGTGAAAACAAAAAAATCTAACTTTCTTGAATGTCTCCTTGTGCATCTCACACAACTTTGATTATCCTTTATCCGTTGCCTGGCGTTTATTAGAGTGTTTATCCTTCAAATAGGGATATTATTCAAGCATTTCAACAAGGCAGCACTTAGATTTTCAAACTCGATCATGCACTTAGTCTCACAAGATGTTCAATGAGAGAAAGATGGAGTTTACATGTACGTAGACCAGTCGGTCGAGATTGTAAATGTGATTGTTTGCGAGAAAGTGTTAAAAAACCAGGCTACATTGGGCCGGGAGTAACTACGCCGAAAAGATAAGGGAAACGAAGGGCATATGCGCCAGAGAGAGGAATACCAACGTAGAGGTGACCGGCTCAAAAACCCATATCGAGCAGTCGGTTTCTTTCAGTTTTAGGGTGATTTTAGTTTTCTGAATTAATATCAGTATTTGTGGTACACGTTCGTAGTAAGATGGCGATTGAACAGGTGGTAGGCTGAATAGCCTGATCTTAACATGGCTCTGTTAGGCTTCAATGTTATCGTCACGGTCGGTTGAAAACCATTCCAGGTCCTCTCTGATGACAGTTAAGACTTTTTATGGGGGGAAAGTTGCACAAACGCCCACAGCAACCCGGCTGTTGTTGCCTTTGTCCTTAGTTAGGCAGTTTATAAACCACACCTTACTGAACTTCTGTCCGCTGTACCAAGGTTGCAAGAAATTCATATCGACTGTAAATATTGTGTATACCTCAAGTGCAAGAAATACAACAAAATGTGTTGACAAACTTGTCATCAATTTGGATGCGTTTTGGGCTTTTGAACACTTTCCTTAGGTGACGTCATACATACAGATTCTCATCTGACCAGTTTTCGCAATTCTCGGTTATGCAGGTAAAAAAATTGGCACAATATGCTACACTGCATTTCTAATACAGAACATTTATGAAAATAAACAGTGCTTGTTTTGAAGAAAAACCCTGTCGAGATACCCTCCCAAGCGCAGACTGTCAACGGATACTTACTGAAACTGCTACCGCCTGCTCACAGACAGGCACACGGACAGTGTGTAAAGTCACGTGCAACTTGTGTGGTTTGTATTCTTTTTTGCTTGTTTAATGTTTATAATCTGAAGAAGCTTTTTCTTTTCTCAGTCCTTTTATAGCTTGGATAGTTTTATTGAAAACATTCCAGTTGCAATCCTTTAGATTGCTTGTATATTGGTTGTATGGTAGAGTGCACCGGAACTTATTTTTCCGTCAGCCCGGGTTTTAATTTTAGGCATGGTTAAATAGTTCCCCTCACATGGAAAAATCTTTACTGCCTGTTTAAGCACATGTTAGGTGTCCATGTACACTGCCACCTTTTTTGTATCAATAAAATATGAAAACTGAACCTACTCGTTCACAATTGATATACCAATTACCTCATTAAATTGATTTCGTGATTATTTCGAGCTTTCCAATTGTATATATATTCAAGATATATATTCTTTATTTTTAGACGGAAATACTATAGCAGTTTCCTCCATCAATACACCAGTCGCCGTATCATCTCTTGAGGCAACGACTTCATCAACTCGTATGATTAAACAATTTTTATCAAAATTAGTTTTCCAAGTAATTTGCAAAAATGGTTAATTTTTCCATAACATTTTTGTCTTTGTGGAGGATTATTACAAATTTCGTTTAATTCAGAAAACTCCCAAGGCACCACAGAAACAACTGGAACAAAACCAACTACTTCAAAAATAACAACTCGTAAGATGATTTCATATCATGACATTTTGAGGGAAAATTAATATACCGGTATTTGTGTTGAAACACTCTAGCTATAGCGTATGATTTCATTAATATTATGGAATATATTTATGAATAATAGTTGTTATATCCTTTGTGACTTCATAATTTACATTACACTTTGTCAAATAATTCATTTTTTTTTAATTTTATAGAACCCATTACAACAACTTTGCGTACAACAAGGAGAACTACGGCTTCTGAAGTCGGTGTCGTGGTGGTAGGCTAACATGCAAAAAAGTTAAATGAACATGGATAACCATGCAGACATCATAAATATATATGTTTGTATCTAATAAAATAAGATTTGCCTATACGTATGATGAATATGTTATTCTACAAGATATATCTAAAAATTAATGTTTTAATAAGAGCCAAGATGATTTCGATTCCCCTTTCTGTATAATATCCGTTCTAGTCACTCTACTGCATGTAGTTAGGGTAACAATGAAAATTTTCATGCCTCTTAAACTATTGTCAAACTTGGCTGAAACTCAGTTGACAATGGTTTTCTTGGTGTAAAATTTTCAATGTTACCCTTAACTACATTCTTTTATAGTGAGAATTCAAAATATTTTAATTCATCCTCGAACTTATAATTAGCACTAAGTTTCACATTGCACAAAGTGTGCAAAATTAAAATTATTCTTCTTTAATGCAGTTTAAGATGTTATAAGGTTTTGGGTATTTTGTAAAACATATATACGTTAAGAAAATCAATTGTTTAAATAGAAATTAATGAGGAATTGGGGAATACAATAAATTCCAATAATATGTTTCTTTATTTTGTAGAGATCGTTTAATTTAAAAGGAAAATAAATATCGAAGGCTATCATTAATGTGATTTCCATTAAGATTATTTGCTTGTCTGTGTTTGTGTTTAATGTATTTAAAGAATGTTTGACTCAGAGTGAGATGACATCAATTTCCGGTGGAGGACTGCAAACTTAGACCTATAATCCGTATATGCAGTCTTTGAGCAATGAGGCATCTTTTTCATGCCAGCACCTACAGGCAAAGGAACTTCCTTTTAAATACGATTTACTCCGAAAGATCTGTTTCCACGTCCCCACAAATCCGCAACGTAAGGATCAACTTCGATTCTTACTACTCGACTCTAGAACAAAAGCTTTAAACACTGCACTAGGCGGATGATTGATGTTTATGAAATATGTGTACATATCTTTTAACACAGGTATCGCAATAATAACTTTTTAGATCAGTTGATTCATCAGATCGTTTAAATTTAATTAATAAAGACAGAATTATTTTACTTTAAGGTTTCAAGGCAAACTTGTTTACACTTTGTTAAAAATCCTAATTGTATGTAAACATAAACATAAAGATTTTTAACGACATCTTCATGTTAACGTACTTTTAACATTTTCAATTATAATGTATATTTAATATTTAAAATTGATCATTGGACAAATCTCGCTGCTGTATCAAAAATCAAAAGTGACATAATGTAAGTCTGTGTCTACAGATTTAAAAGCTCATACGAGGGCTGTTCAATAAATAATGTCCTGAGCTCTATGACATACAACATAGAAATCATATGCCATTAAGCTTGATTTTCTCCCGTGATTGAATCTTTAATGAATTGATAACAGTTTATGTGATCACTTTTCATCACATAGTTTCATTGTTAGAAGCTGGAAAATAAGGGCTATTCGAGACACTTCATTAAAAATGAATAGTAAAGAATCAGTAAACTATAGTGAAATTAAACGCTTTTGAAAAGCTGCTGGTTGTTAAGAATAAAAAAAATTAAATGAAATTGTGAAATTTAAAACAAACAATGTCTGTTATAGATACATGGGTGGACTTCAATGAACAAAAATGATATAATGGGTATCAAAAATGGGTACCGTCCTTAGCGACAAAAACTTACAACAACCAATGTACTTTTGGCCAAAATTCAACAAATTATTACTTATGATGTTTGATTGACTTTATAAATCATAGCAAATTTGATAGGCATTATTTTGGGGATAGTTCATACTGTTTTATAGAAACATTTGACAGTAAAAAAAAAAAGCTTAGTACTCAAGGTTCAACCTATGTTTTGAAAAATGAGTGAAAACGAGAGCGTTTTAAAAATGTCCACACAATTATTTTTAAAAAATCAAAAAGTGCAATATCCATGTTTGTATGAAATCCATACAGATTATGAAACTTGAATCCATTGCTTTAAATAATTAAAACAAATATACATGTACAATAAGATGCACTTGACAAAAACAGCAAAGGTCTGAGAAGAGCAAAGAATTGCAAGAGCAAAAAGGCAGTTTCATATGCCATTTTATTAGATATAAGTGGTCTTGTTCAAATTCTTATTCGGGAAGGCAGTTCAATTTCTGGAGAAGTCTAGAAAGCAAATTTGTCGCAAAAAATAATCGAAAGGTTTTTGAGAGGAAGGAACCAGAATAAGGAATTCACTACATTAAATTTCTTCATGACAGCGTCCAAACCCACAGGCCATGAAGAGGAAAGGAGTTTCTGGGGATAAACAGAAAGTTAATGTTTTATCACACCAACAATATTCGCCAGATCTTTCACCCTTTAACTTGTTTCATTTTCCAAACTTGAAAAAAACACCTTTCAGAAAGAAAACACAAGTACATAAAATCATAGGATCTGCCATATTCCAGTATACAAAGGGTTATACTCAAAAATATGTTCTAAAAACAATCAGAAATTGAATAAAAATGGTATGGTAATGTTTTAATTAAATGAGAATATTAAAGTGAAATCATTTAGACTAAATCATTGGAAAAGGTTTTTTTGTTTCTTTCCGAGCACCGAGGACATTATTGAACAGCCCTCGTACAATAACTTTTCCCCAGATAACTGTTCAATATTCATCTACTAAAAATCAGGACTAGTTAGATCAATTTTTCTTGTTAGATCAATTCTTAATATAACTTATATTATGAATGTAACGTCAAAAGTACTAAAACAACTTTTTGCTTCTTTTATTTATTTTATCTATCGATTGAATAAACAGACAAAAATAAATATAATGGATCAAATGCCAACCCATATCTGTCTGATTTGTTTTACATTACTTAATGTTACATTCCTTTTGTCTACAATGTACGGTAGAATAAATCAAAAAGATTTATAGTTATTTCCTTCTTTGTTCTTAGCTTTTTAATTTGGGGTTAAACCTTTTAACAGTATTAATGGAGTGTTCAGTTCTGATCTTATACATCTCAAAGATTATTTCAATGTACTGAAATGACACGGCAAACTTTTAATGTAAATTTACCCTGACTGCATTAAATCATCATTCCCGCGCAATTCTTCTTCCGTCTTTATAACATTATGTAACTGAAACTGATTAGATGGTTACATCTACGACGATTCTATCTAGCTGTTTTTCGAAGGTCCTCTCTCCAATTAGTTTATGCCTATAGTGACATTTATGACTCCTCGTTCCTTTACCTCAACATAACATAAATACCATATATGTTGAAATTGTAATTTATTGATCAAATAAATCTTGATCAACAATCCAAACATGTAGTAGAAACAAATAAAAATATCAAACAAAATATTCCAAAAAACTACATGCAATTATACGGTTCACAAAAACAAACAAATACAAAAGAATGTACAAAATGCAATCAGTACTTCAAAACCAAACACTCAAGAGTTTACTTTTTCATACAATGAACATAGCTAAGTTAAAAATTGACTTTGAATCTGTCTCGAAAAACCAGACAGACATACACACAAATTTACACACATAAATACATATACGTAAACTTAAAAAGTAACATGTATGGGACTAACAGATAAGTTCAAATGTTAATAATCAAATAATGGGCAAAGGTGGGGTCCATTACCCATAAGTTGAAAAGATCATGCCCAAAATGATCTTTGAGACGACCCCAGCAAAGCCAGTGCATGCACATCAAACTCAAAAGGGGGTACAAATAGCACTGAATATAACAATTTTATCTTATGCTTGTTCATTGTGATATAGTATGAAATGTAGAATTGCTTAAACGGCAAGGATATGACTGTTACCGGCCCCAGCAAGTAACAATGAGTGAAACTTGGCTATATATATATAGTTTATTTAAACAAGGGTACTGGTCAAAGCAGGTAAGATAACCCAGCGGAGTTTGATCTTAACAATCGTGAACTATAGTTTATACATGTACAATCAATTTCAAATGCATTACCGGCCCCAGCAGGTAAGCATGTGTAAGTTTGGTTACATATATACATACAGATTATCATTATTCAATAATATTACCGGCCCAAGCAGGTAACATTAAGCATATGTGCATTATGACGTCAAACTATCTAAACATCTAATGTTTTACCAGCCCCAGCAGGTAACACTTATACAAATATATGGAGACTTTGAACTACTGGCCCCAGCAAGTAGCCCATGTAAATGGCAAGCAAAACAAGTCATAATGTTTGACTGTAAACCCAATATACACTAAACCTAACAAGTATAAACAGAAATGGCCAAGCAAGGGTGAAAAGCCATATCTATCAATTAAATATTGCTAGGTACTTGATTTAATCGGATATATTTCTGAAATGCATTCGAATTCCACCGTCCATTGATCTGATTTGTGCATCGGTGCAACCCTTTTGTGCAGCCAGAGTAGCAGCACCTATTCTGAAACTGTGACCCTTATAGCGTGTACTGTCCAAGCCACATGAGAGCAAACATTTATGGAGGGTCTAGAAATAACAAACCGTTGCAAGTCTATTGAACAATACAACTCGAGCACAAAACCCACGGGCCTCTAAAACATCAGAGGAGGGATCAGGAGCCAAAGAGAAGTAAGCATCCCCTGTCGACAGATCACACTCGTCGTGTGAAACTTGTCATGATTGGGTAAAATGATGGTATAGTTTATCTGTGTCAACAACTTTATTCTTTGAACATTTTACATGTATACGCATGGCTGTATTTTCTTTCGACAGATCTACGAAGTATATCACCAGGGACGTTCATTCTAATGGGATAAGTAAGTTCTTCAGCGCCCTGTTCAGTTTACCAAAAACTATTCTCATCTTTGTATGATGTGCCATTACCAGTTCTCGTTAGATTTTTTTTCCAAATTTTTGTTCCTAGACAAGCATAATGGAATTTAAAAAAAAAAGGAAATCGCGTTTATTGAAATGCAAATTTGCTTTTTAATGATAATTTGATTCCAATATATGTATTGATATTTAAAGAAAAGGAAATTATTTAAATTGCCTAAATAATACCTTCTACATCTATTACGAGACATACTAATAGTCAAGTATAATTTGCTGTAAAATCTCATATTTATTTAAAGATATATCATCGTATCAATACATATTTTAGCCCTACAATTTTTGAATAAAGGAAATAGGGCGTCTGTTTTTAAAATCAAAGTATAGATTGAAAAAAAAATCGTGTGTATCATTATGTAGGTTAATTTAGGATAGATATAATAATTTAATTTCCATACATAAACTGGATTCAATAAAACTCCATACAAGCAAAGATGCACAGCAGGTTCCAGAAAATGTTCAACCACGCCTCTTTCTTCACATCTCACTAAAATATTCAAAACAGTGAATTGTCGAAGAACTTCAATACACTCGAGAAGTAGTGTGAATAAGATGTGGATACTTGAAACTCCTATGAACCTTTAAAAAATTTGAAATCAAAACATTTTTCAAAAATCAATAATATTAAAATATACGACTATGTAACCTTTTTTTAAACTTTTCACACGATTTATTAAAGTCCATGATTTTTGACAGCATAGTCAGCTGTTTTAAATAAAGTTGAATTTGTAAATATACTTACGTTATCACTGGTCGTTTTCAAAAAGTATTCTGTTTAAAAAATCGGATTGCACTGATTGCATATTATCGTTTGCAGCTAACTGTAAAGTTTCACGTTACGTCACGATCTAGTTGACAGCTGCACTCAAGGTAAATTGTACACGCCTCCTAACCGCAAGCTTTACGACTGAAACTTTCTTCTTATCCCTGATTGGTTGCTCGTGCAACACACTATTTCCGTGTCAATGTTGATAATTTGAGTTGACCAATCACGTTAGTTGTTTACGCTGGATGCATCTGACGAAAAAGATCGTGACGTAACGTGAAACTTTACAGTTAGCAAAACAATAATACTCAGACGTTGATAGTAAAAAGATGATGCAGTTCCTAATTGACAATATCTATGTAGTTTTCGGAGATCAGGTCTTCCAATAATCTGTTGGAATTCTTATCATTTGCACAGGGTAATGATAAACTATTTTTTGTTATCAAATGAAGAAATTTTGACAACACTTGCTGTGGCCTTCAGCTTTACACTTAAATATATCGACGACGTGTTCTTAATTAACAATTATAAACCATTCGTATGTCGACTCGATTTGTTACAGAGAGCTTGAAATAAAAGATACCACAGAGTCTGACATAACTGTTTCATATGAGGATAATTTACTCGAAAAAAAACGTTACCGGTATTTTAATGGCAAAGTTAAAGATAAACATGTCAAGAGAAGTTTTAAGTCGTCAACTTCTCATTACTTATGTAACAATACCACCTGCATATGGAGTTAATGTCTCTCAGCTGATTTGCAGGAACAATTTCTAAATAGAGGCAAGCTTTTGACGAAAAGTTGTTGAAACATGGATATGAACAGTTTTGTTTGAAGTCATCATTTTACAGAGTTAATTGAACTTTTATTCGTGAAAATTGGCATTTGTTGATTGTTCAGATGCATTCGCAAGCTACTGCTTTTGTACATCCAACTAGTTCAAATATTTTAAAATAAACTTACAATTACCCTATATCAACACACAGTGACGTGTATGCGAAATTAAATTGATATATAAATTGAATTTTTATCAATCATTTTGCCAAAAAACATTATTATCATGTATTTAACTACTGATTCAGGAATCGTATGCTTTTCATGGTTCCCTCGCGAATTTGGTTGCAAAATAAGAGCAAACATAAGCACTTCGCGTAAGTCTTGTGCCACAGTTGAATTTAAATTGATGAAGAACCTTGATTTCGCATTTATTTTTAAAACTGAGTATAGAGTATAAAGACAAATCCTAATAAAATGTTTTCTTAACAACCAAATTACAATTGAAGCGGTCTCTAAAGCATTCAAACTAAAATTTTTTAAAAAAATGATAAACAGAAAAAAGATTACAGCCTTCCACAGTTGTTTCATAGATCGTGGCTTTAAATGTGAAGGGACGTTCTTTACGTTGGTAGGAATTTGATGAGAGCAAATTTAAATTGACATTATATATAACCTGTGACTACATTTTATCGTTTTTTTTTTTTATTTTAATGTGAATTCGAGATGAAATATCTGTTTGTTAGTGTTCCTGTCAACATATTTTGTATAGTGCTATTTTCTTTATCGAGAGCACTGTCTGAAATCCGAGAATATAATTTCAGGTTTCAAGGAAAATATGTTTTGAACAAAAGTCTACATGCAGTAGAAGAATTTGTAGAAACAAATGCGCAATTTTCTAAATTGTTGTGCGGTATTTTATGTGGAAAATCAAACTGTCAAGGCTTTGAAATCTGCCACGATGACAAAAGATTGTGCAGAATATGGAATGATCCTTTTGAGCCAGTGTCATCTTCTGATCCAAACTTAAATATCTGTGACCAGTTTAAAAAGGTAGGACATATAGTCAAATCAGTACTAGAACTAATTCTTTTAACATTCAAATTTGTTTAATCTTATTACTTTTGAAAAGGTATGGATTTTATTTTTTTCAATTTTTCAATTTTCTTTTTGAAATTATTTGCATTTTATTATTACTTTCATTTTAAATATATTTGATTAAATATTTTTAAGCTAGCAACAATTTTAACACTGTTGGTATACAATGTTATGATTGAAATATGTTAAGAGGTCTAATTCAATTATCTGTGATATCTGAGTTTCCATAAACTAGCCCTATCAAAAATTTACCAAATGTACCAGGTAATTAAAGTTAAGGTCAAAATCTTGTCAATGAAAGGTGTCTACAGATTTATTAAAATTGGAGAAATAAATTCCTTTAATGATGCTCTTTATAACTCAAATAAGGCGTTTCGGGGCATAATTTAAACTATCATTTTCAATCAAAACCATTAATGAATATGGGAGTTTTTAGATATTTAAGATATATTTTAGATATTAGATATTTCGACGACGTATTGTCAATTAACGATAGATTACTGTTTCTCTCGTGTTCTATGTATGAACAATTTCTAAAATGAGGTAAATTATTAACAAACAATTTGATGAAACAAGAATATCAGCATACGGGGTTCACATATCTCAGTTGATGAGATACTCAAGAGCATACTCTATGTATGAACAATTTCTAGAACGAGGTAAATTATTGACAAACAATTTGATGAAACAAGAATATCAGCAGTCTCATTTAAAGTCATCATTTCGTAAGTTCTATGGTCGATACAATGACTTTGTCAACAAATACAATTTGTCATTGAGGCACATGCCGACTGACGTTTTTCATACTAATTGTTAGTCCATTATTTATACACCGAATTCCGGATTTTTCCGTTATTTCCCGATCATGACAAGGAGATCACGGCGGGTGTGACCGGTCAGCAGGGGATGCTCACTCCTTCATAGCACCTGATCCCACCTCTGTTTCGGAGGTCCGTGTTTGCTCTGCTCTTATTTTGTATTGTTTTATGAACTCTTGTTCTGGAATACTGTTCGTCATCTCCATATGTTTCATTTACTAATTCAGGCAAAGGAAATGTATCCAGTTTTCATTCACTCTTTCATAAAACGGTAATTTGCATGTTCTTGGTCATACGATTTCAAATTGAATGCCATGGAAATAACATATTTTCAACATAATCTTATTTGAGCCCTAAAGTATGGGGAAAAGAAAGATGCAGTCGGAAAATAGCTCTTCAGAGCTAATGTTTTTGTTGATGTACCTGACTTTAAATAAATATCTTATCTTAAAATGATTTTGACGTCATAATAGATCAAGCACCAAAATGCAAGTCTGATATTAGTTTTGACTATGATGCTTTACTATGGAAAATTTTCGACATACCCGGTATGAAAACTTAAAATCTCTTAAAATCGATAACAGCTTTAATGTAAACCTATGAAATAATATGTGAATATAAACTTAATATAAAAATATACATATATGAAATGCATAGTAATAATACTTCGAATTACTTTACTAAAAAATTAGTCAGTATTAATCGTATTTTTGTAAGGGAGTTTAATGCAGGACATTTGCACTCTTTAATATATGCATCCCCTTTAGACCGCAAATATATTTTGTATTCTTACCTACGGTTTACACTGCCTTGCATACAATCGTTAAGACTGTGACTGATAATTGCTCTCAAATGCGCAGATCATATATTAATCAAAGAATGAGATTATCTGATTATCAAAAACATGCAGATTATATATAGTTTCATATTAAATACTTGATTGAAATTCAGTACCTTGAATAGGTGTTGAGAAAAACCAATATCAAATAATGTGTGGACTTCGTTTCATCTGAATTCATTGTATATTCTGGTCTTTTATTCTCTGGCAATATTCTGAATTATTAAAACTATTAATTAAAGAAACATTGCATACCTCTTGCAAACCGTATTAAATATAAGCTAGGAAGACAATAGAGAAATAGAATAATTGTATTTGAGTTTTTAATTATTATGTATATCAGATAGATTATATGTATTTGTGGCGAAGCACAGCTTACTTAAATTTAAGGAGAATCTATATCCGGAAAGTCTGTATGGTTCTTTCAAACTTTTACATTCTTTTTATTTTCACTTTTCACTCACATGTACTCATAAATATTTAGGCAATTAAAAAAATTCTACCTTCATATGCTTATAATTTTCATAGAGCAGTTTTTCACCTACATAGTTATAGCATTTTTATCTCCATTTTTTTTCGAAATGCAAGACCGTGTTCTACATACGAACAATGATGTTAAAAGTTAAGAGGCATGCTTTAGACGTACATGTACAGGTTGATAAAACAAGGATATTAAATACTAGTAACCCTCTCTCATTTTGCATAAACTATGATCAATAAAATAATGTTGTCGGTAAATACAATCTATCAATAAATCTAATGCTGAATGCATTTTTCATGGTATTTAGGCCATCAGTTACAAATTACATTTTTACGAATTTTCCAATTTGTCCAACTTTACAAGGGGCGCATTGCGGCAGCTACAAGTCGGCGGGGGATGCTCGCTCCTCCATGGCTCCTGATCTTTCCTCTTATGTTTTCAGTTTATTTTGTTTGCTCTGCTCCTGATTTTTATTGTTTTTAGTTTGATTACTGTTCGTTATTCCCATTTATCATTTATTTTGCTTTCCATTCCATGTTATAATTCTATGAGCTTGATCGTTTACAGAAAATAAAACGGAATGGATTTCTCATAAAAGAAAAATGAGTTTAAGAAAACTGATTTTCTCTCATCATATTCTGTAAAGTGTTCAGATTTTGAATCAAGCTTATTTATTTACTGTTGACATACTGTTTTCATGTAAGTAATTCTAATTATAATTGGACAGTATACATGGGCACCTGACGTCACGGAAGCAAGTCCTTCTATGACAACCTTTGCACAAAATTCAACCTCGTCGAGTAGTAACACCTCTGCAAACTCCCAGAATTCAACAATGTATGTAGAAGCGCTTACATCTTCAGTGCAAAGCACAAGTACATCTTCCGAAGGAATTCTGATGAATCAATCCACAACTACGCAACTAGTAATGGAAAATGTTTCCGAAATACAGAGCACCGAGGACGCTCTATACAGTGACACAGTTACTATTCAGAGTACAATTCCGCCAACCGACAACAGTTCAAGTAATAACAACCAAACAGCATTGACTACCCTGGGTCATCTTAGTACAACTTCCGAAGGAATACTTCTGAATCAATCCACAACTTCAGAACTAGCGACAGAAAATGTTTCAGAAACACATAGCACCGAGGGAGCGCCATATAATGACACGGCTACTATGATGAGTACAATTCAACCAACTGATAACATTACGAGTAACAACAACCAAACAGCATTGACAACTCTGGATAATTCAAGCACAACTTCACAAGGAATTCTTCTAAACCAATCCACAACTACAGAACTAGCGATGGAAAATGTTTCAGAAATACAGAGCACCGAGGCCGCTCTATATACTGACACAGTTACAATTCAGAGTATAAGTAATAACCAATCAACATTGACAACTCTAGATAATTTTAGTATATTACCGACAAATCAAACAACAAACTTGGAGACAACTGTGTTAGCGGAGTCAACAACAGGGGTTAATACAGTACCGAATTCTACGACCAAGTACTTATCCACTGTTCAAAGCACTCCGGAATCAACAGAACCAAGTAAGAATGAATGGACTGTAATTTTATAATTTCTTTTCTGACTTTAATTTTACATCTTACGTTTTGTTAAAGTTATTTTAATCATGTTATTTTACGATACATATAATAGATGTACAACCTATCTATCCTTGACATTTCACTCAATGCAATTGTCAAAACGAAATAAAAGTGCTCGATAGATGAATGATTAATTAATATATTTGGTCTTATTTCATAGATTGTATGGATTGTGATTGCTGGAGCCTGAGAGGAATGACGGGAAAACTTACAATTTTTTTGGCGGGCCAATTTATTGAAGTCAACTGTACAGAAGATGGAACTCTTTATCATTGGACGGTATCTGAACAAGAGATAATAAAAATGATATAAAAATATCCTTCCTTTCCGTTAAAAGTACGCTTATTTTTTCTCAGTTAAGACGACTGGATGGTTGTTGTCATTTTCAGAGTATTACTCTCTAAGAAGAAGAGCTCCATATAAAGACATACAAAAATGAACAAATTTTTAAACTAAAATGTATGAAATTTTTCTTTGCCAAATGATAGTTGACAGCTTAAGATATTATTATTAAAAGTTAAGTTATATCTGCTGGTTAATTTTTTGAACACCCCCCCAGCCTCCTTAATTGGAACTTGAAATTATCAATATGAAAAGAGAAAGACTAGATTTCAGTGGAATTGCAATGAGCGTAATCTTATGAAATAGTAAATTGAATGAGACAGTTTTAATAAGCGGCTTATTAAAACTGTCTCATTCATTTTTGCTTAGCGGTAAACACAATAAATATTTGAGGCAAACTAAAATCTATTGATAACTTATTGATATGTGTCTTTATGCAAATTTCTTGTAGACTTTTCAGAGAAGAATCAATGGCACTGTCAATTTTTACAGAAATTGGTCAGACTATGAAAACGGATTCGGGTCAATTGACGATGAATTTTGGTTAGGTATGCTATACCTAATGCTTTTTTCATTGTATAATCAAGCAACCATTTCATTTCATATGAAAAATATTCCTTTTTTAATGCAGCTTTTTGAAAGGGTGCCATTAGTTTGTTTCTCGTCAAACCTATGATTTTGACATAGGTAGTGACTGTTTCTTTGTAAAGCGCAAAATATGAATTGTGAAAGTAAGGGTTCTTTCGTTTATGACCTTCAAAACACAAATTTTATGTCACAGTAGGCGCTGGTAGATTGAAGACCCTACCTGCTCGATGACAGTGCCAAATAAAGGTCTAGAAGCCTTTCACCAGTATATGGTGAAGTCACATATGTATAACAAAGTTAAACAACAATGTTCAATCAATCAAAGAATCTTTCTCAATTACTCTTAAGACTGTATAAAGCGATATAAGCATTAAAATCAGTTTATAGTTTAGAATTATGAAAATTATATTAACAAAGGCGATGGAAATTATCACAAAGTTATTTTAATAACTTGATACTGGCAAATCTTATAATTTTCTTAAAATCAAGATATTATCACGAGCGTTAAAGAAGTTGTTTATGCTAATTATTTATACTTTGAGATAGTGCACATGTATTGTCTTACATAGAATAAGAATAATGATGAATACTAGTATTCATTTTTGATAGGTAACAAATATATTCACGAGCTGACGAGGCTGGGACATACATACCTGGGTATAGATCTACTAACATTTGAAGGAAGACTTCTTTCTATAGAATATGCCACCTTCAGAGTGGGAAACTCATCAACTAAGTATATACTGGAAGTGGGGAATCCAGTTTATACTTCCACTCCAGGTACATATATAAGTGTTTTACTATTCAGTACATTGACTGAGAACCTGTTTTTTATGCTCATAGAATTAATTTGGATTTTGAGAATACAAATTTTAATTCGTCATGGTATCTTGATATGTTTTTTACTGTTTATAAAGATAAGAAGGCGCTACAGAGTCTGACACATTTGTTTCATATTTGGATATTTTACTTGAAAAATGAAATTAATGGTAATCTAACAACCGAGCTCTAAACTTTTCAATCGTCAAATTCCCTTACTTATGCAGCAATATACCATCATGATCTTCATGCGGGTTTTATAGTTGATTCAATATGCAAGACCATGCTCTACGTATGAACAATTTATAAAACGAGATAAATTTCTGACAAACTTGTTGATGAAACGAGAATATCAGCAGTCTCGTTTAAAGTCATCATTTCGTAAGTTCTATGTTCAATACAATGACCTTGTCAGTAAATACAATTTATCATTGAGTCAAATGCTGACTTAGTTTTTCATACTTATTGTTATGCCATTATTTACACACTAAATATTCATTATAAATATAACACACAGAATTTTCCATTATTTCCCAATCATGACAAGGAGCACACAGTGGGTGTGACCGGTCGGCAGGGGATGCTCACTCCTTCATAGCACCTGATCCCACCTCTGATGTTTTAGAGGTCCGTGATTGCTCTGCTCTTATTTTGTATTTTTAGTGGTCTTTGAGCTCGGATACTGTTCATTATCTCCATATATTTCATTTTCATTTTTTTTACACAGAATGGGATATAGGCGACAGTATGGCGAATCATAACGGTATGCTTTTTACAACATATGATGCAGATAATGATGAAAACAAGGCAAAAAATAATGGAAATTGCGCAATCATACTCAGAGGAGGGTGGTGGTACAAAAATTGTGGGGACTGCAATCTCAACGGGGAGTATAGCCACGAACGGTACCCTCCTGACGACAGGGTGTACTGGAAAGATTATGGAGGATTCCAAGAATCCTTGAAAGAGGTCACAATGAAAATTCGGAAACCTTAACTAGTGGGTAATACACGTTGAATTCCATTTTTGATCATCGGACTCATCAGAGAATTCTGCTGTGAAGAGGAAACTGGTTCACACTTAATTTGTTAGTAGAAATTATCAGATGTATCGTTTCTTTCTTTTTCGGCCGGGCACGGAACCTTAATTTAAGCTTTCTTGTAAATGTAAATACCTTTTTTATGATCCTCTATTCTTGGATTAAAAAGTAGTTTTTTTACTTTTCGTTTATAGCTTTTAACATATTGCCTTTATACTAAAATGCATCAGGAAATTAAAAACAAATGGACCAACTTTTCGACTTTTTAGCATGACAATTTAATTACTGATATCGTTATACAGAAAATATTGTTCTATAAACTATTTAGGCTCGATATTGATGGTTATAATTCTTATCAAATATTCATAGTTATCATTTTTGTTAGAGAATATGAATTGTGTACACTCGATACTATTTAGCATCTTTTTTGTTAACGTGGTGTGCTACAAGGAGAAATTTTATCACCAAAGCTTTTTTTTCTTAATTACCGGAGAATCTGGAGACTGACCTACCGGAAATCTAGTCATATGACTTTCAACGTAACAAATAAATATCCCTTTACGATAACATATTAACAATTTATCTAGTCTTTACAAGTAAAACACCAACTGAACTTAAAAAAAACATTGAAAAAATATTTTCCTATAATTATTTTTTTCTGTCATAGGATAAGACCAAGGTGATTGTGTTTTTTCGCAAAAGAGAATCAGAAAGGATATATGTTTGATTTAAAAAAAGTCAATAGCCAAAAGCTTAAAATTGACTTGCTTAAAAAATATACTTACATATTTATCTATCCCATAATTCGTCAACTATGTTATTTTCAAAGACTTTATACTTACCTATGTATATGTATGAATTGGGAGGCCTGCCACTTCAGTTTCTTGGAAACTGGAACCATCTTTAATAATGACACTTCCTTGCTACATGTAGTGTTCTGGGGAGTTATAATAATATATATATATGATTAAAATATATATTCCATTGCATGGTTGTTTTTTTTTTTTGGTTTTTTTTTTTTGTTAATTAAATCATAAAAAGTCACATTTGTGTCAATTTTTTTGTAAGGGTGGATTTTACCCAGAATTTGAAAAAAGCTCCAAATGATAAATCATAGATGATGAAGCAAAACTAAAAGGTTTTAGAAAGACCGATTCATATTTTTTATGCTAATGAGAAGAAACTAATCTATCTTTCTCAGACTTGATTACATTTTGTGACGGCAGACCCAGAAGCTTAAGGTCTTAACAATGAAGATTTCACTATGTTGAAATTCTGCATGTCTGACGTTTTGCAAGTCTAAGACAAGTAATTCTAAATACGAAAACTGGAAAGCCGCAGAAAAAAAGTTGCAGATAAAACAACATATACAGCACGAAAGGGAAAGTACGGACATTTTTGCACCAGTTACAATATCGGTACTTCATTGAAAATCTTCAATAGATGTAAAAAGAAAACTTGTTCTCGACTTAAGGGGGCCGACTATAGTTTTATTGTGTGAAAACTACAATCGCGAAACTCTTCATTTTTATACCATATATAACTTACATTAACTTCAGCGTACATGCAAAGTTTGGAGGAAATCTACCGTCCAGGTATTTTTGAGGGACCGTCTCAAAATACAGGTACATTTACTATAGGAGTATATAGGAAAATGCCAAATTTTAGCAGTTTAAAGCAAATTATACAAATACTACAATAGACATTTTGTTCAAACTATAATATTTGATGAGTAATACTAAATTATACAAAATATGTAAGAAACACAAAATTCTACCGTCTTGTTACAAGAGGGGACATCTCAAAATGCAAAAAATTAGCAAATTTTACAATTTTTATAGGGTATTACAAAATATGACGTACACAATGGATTCACATATAAACATAATAAAAATATTGGAGATGTTCTCAAATTTCTATGTTTTAAATTTCAAGAGCGTATGTCTATTACTTTTTCTTTAATAATATTTTTAATACCCCTATCTTTAAGAGCTACAGATTATAATAACGTCAAAAACACACTGCAACGACGCCAACCTACCTATCAATTGCAAATTCGGTTAAAAAAACAGTTATATCAAATTCTTATGACATTTTTATACCTATAATTTCTTAATTTTTTTTAATTTTAATAATTTAGCGAAAAAAGTTGCATTAAAACAGTAAATACGCTTCATTTTACTATGATGCGCGAAATGTTGCGCAATGGAAACTATAGTCGACCCCCTTAAATCATATCCACAGTCGTTATAGAGTACTATTCCCTTTAATTTCTTGGTCGAGTCGATATTGAATTATAAAATTTTAACAAATGTACTCACTGTTACTTTGCAAAGCATCTGGCATAAGAAGTGAAAGTCTTGGGTATTGGGGATGAAACCTTAGTTATAAAAATCTCTTTTCGAGGACGCTTTGGCATGATAAAGTACCTAAAACCTCAATGGCTCTAAGTCCAAATTTGAAGACTTGCAGCTACAGTGGAATTTGGTGCATGACGCCTCTTCACGAGTAAAAAGTTTTGGAATGGGACTTGAAACATCAAATGAATTATGGAGATAATGAACAGTATTCAAAATCAGAAGTCCATAAAACAATGCAAAACAGGAGCAAAGCAAACACGGCGCACCTCCAAAACATCAGAGGTGGGATCAGGTGCAATGGAGAAGTAAGCATCCCCTGCCGACCGGTCACACATGCCGTGTGCTCCTTGTCATGATCGGGAAATAACTGAAAAACCCGTCTTAAATTCAGTGTATAAATAATGGACAATAATTAGTATGAAAAACATCAGTTAGCATATGCATTTGACTCAATGATAAACAAACATTCTAATAATTAAGATGTTAATACAATTCAATACTTAACTGGCTTGTGTATCAGTATGTGTACTCAATTATACGATGATAATTATCATAAAAAGGATACCATGCTATACCAATACTAGAAATTAGAGAAATTCCTAAAGAGGAAAGTATTCAAATAGGCCTACTAGGATTTAGTTGAATCCTAAAGAGGAAATTAGTGCTATTCAAATACTAAGATTTATAGTTGAACTCCTAAAAGGTTATTATTCAAATACTTGGATTTAGTTGAATTCCTAAATAGGATACCATTCAAAACTAGGATTTATGTGAAATCCTAAAGAGTATATTTTTCAAATACATATACTAGGATTTATTTAAATTCCTAGAGAGGATATTATTCAAATAAGTCGAATAAGTTGAACCCCTAAAGAGGATATTATTCAAATACTAGGATCTAGAATTAGTTGAACCCCTAATGAGGATATTATTCATAAACTAGGATTTTCTTGAACTCCTAAAGAGTATATTTTTTAAATACTAGGATTTTCTTGAACTCCTAAAGAGTGTATTTTTCAAGTATAGGATTTACGTGAATTCCTCAAAAGGATATTATTCAAATATTACGATTTAGTTGAACCCCTAAAGAGGATATCATTCAAATGCTATAGGATCTAGTTGAATTCCTAAAGAGGATATCATTTAAATAGTAGGATCTAGTTGAACTTCTAAAGAAGATATCATTCAAATACTAAGAATTAGTTGAACTCCTAAAGAGGATATCATTCAAATACTAGGAATTAGTTGAACTCCTAAAGAGGATATCATTCAAATACTAAGATCTAGTAAAGAGTATATTTCTTAAATAATAGGAATTAGTTAAAGTCCAAAGGAGGATATCAATCAAATACCAAGATTTAGTTGAACTCCTAAAGAGGATATCATTCAAATAATACGAATTAGTTAAACTCCGAAAGAGGATATTATTCAAATACTAAGATCTAGTAAATAGTATATTTTTTAAATACTAGGATTTAGTTGAATTCCTAAAGAGGATATCATTCAAATACTGAGATCTAGTAAAGAGTATAATTTTTAAATACAAGGAATAAGTTGAACTCCTAAAGAGGATATCATTCAAATACAAGGATGTAGTTGAACTCCTAAAGAGGATATCATTCAAATACTAGGATATCTAGTTGCATTCCTAAATAGGATATCATTTAGATACTAACATCTATTAAAGAGTATACTTTTTAGATACTAGGACCTGTTTGAATTCCTTAAGAGGATATCATTCAAATAATACGAATTAGTTGAACCCCTAAAGAGGATATTATTCAAATACTAATTAAGACCTAGTAAAGACTAATTTTTTTAAATACTAGGAATAAGCTTAACTCCAAAAGAGGAACATCAAATATTACGAATTAGTTGAACTTGAAAGAGGATATCATTCAGATACTAGGTTCTAGTTGAATTCCTATAGAGTATATCATTCAAATACTAAGATCTATTAAAGAGTATATTTTTTTAAATTGCATTTAGTTGAAGTGAAAAGCCATTACAAATTCGGATTTTGTTGAAGTCCTTACCTTATGCTGAGTTAATGCATATTTCAAACTTTCTATTTTAACACAAGCGCAAAAATATACCGGAGATCAAATCATCATATACAAAAATGTGTTAATGTTTTCATTAGTAGGAGCCAATCAAAAGGTATATTCAATATTCAATCTTTTTAATCACACACATTTAAATTTTTCTTTTTAAAAATTACATATACCATACTAATAAATCATTAGTGCATGTACTTATTTTTTTTATCAAAAGAATAATAAGTAACATCAGGTGCCCGTGCCTTCAATTGATGCTTTATTATTTAGGGATTGGTTTGAACATATTTTATTGTATAAATACTATACAAATGGTTTGAACACAAGTTCTAACAACTTATTTAGGGATTAGGAGATATTCAATAAAAACTTTGGATCTTTTTTTTCTTATGATAAGATATATGTGAATTAAAGCATAAACATTCTAGGCTACTAAAAATGTAAATGTGGATAAGAAAATTCTGAAAAACACAACATCAGTTGTTGATTGAAATACGAATTTCTGGGAACATTCTGTTGAACCATTGCACAAAGTATACTCTTTTAAATCGCAAATAAGGTGAAAGGCCATTTTTTAAAAAGCAAATTAATGCGTTTTTTAAAAAAAATTCTGCGTAAATAACCTTTGAAAATCTTTTAAATCTATAAACTCATTCAGACTAATGGAAGAAGTATTCAACAGACTTTTTAATGTGAATTTAAATTGGAGTTTTAATAAATTACATATACATACAGTAGGCCATTAGGGCATGTATTGATTCTCTTACAGAAGGGAGTGTTCGACTCTTGACCTTCGTTGTGCTCCCCGTTGTTAGCTCCATTAGGACGAACACAAGCTATGATTATCTATAGTTTGTTTCCCACTCCCTTTGTTTACAAGCATGATGATTTATTTCCTGGATGAA